TTTTCCAAGAAGGTTCTACCACTATGAACCAGGCAGATCTCTCCCTTCCTGCACTAAATTGAATAACTGTTTCTCTCTGGTGTTGAGTACACCCAGTGTCCTACAGCCCCTTGCCCTCCCTTCCTCCAAGGGAAGGAGTGAGCTGTCAGGGAGCCCTGTAGGAACCCTATCCCCTGTTCTCCCAATCGGCTGACTAGTGGTAGAAGTTGGGGAGCCGTTCTCCTGCAGCAAAACTGTTCCAGAGCCCCGGGAGGGTTTCTGCCACAAGAGAAGAGCCCCCACCCAGTGAACTCCTCCCTTTCCACCAAGAAGCATTTGTGGGATAGGGGATAGCTGTGCTACAGCTGAAAGTCTGCCTGAGCTCCGCATGCCTTGCCGCCATAATGAAACACCCCCACCTCTCCCTACATTGCTCCAAGCTGGCCCAGAGGTGTGCAAGCAGTGGGGACTATTCTCCTGTGGGGGGAACTAGGAGGGTTTGTACCATGGGAAGAGGTCCCTCCCCTCCCACAAATCAGCTGATTGCCAGGATAAGGGGGGCATTCTCCTAGGGTTGGAGACCTCCCCCAGCTGCTCTCTGAAAAGCAGCAGCTGCCAATTGCCACTTGGCAGCCTGCCCCTTCTCAGGCAGGGCACAGGGTACGCAGTCAATTACAAAGCTCCCGTAAGGGAAGGGGGCCCAGCAAACAGCCCTCTAGTGCCTTTTAGCAGGAGAGCTAGCTTGTGTAGGTCTCTAGCGAGAGGGCTGGAAAGCATGTATGCTCCAACTCCCAGGCTGTTTTCCTATCAGTGAGAATTTCAGAAAGATACTATGGCCACTGGGAAGTTCCTCAACAGTTACCCCATTTTTCTTTTTGATTTAATACAAGCTACCAGGACCTGATTCTGGAAGCTGCAGAGCATTTTCAGCTTCCATTAGCTCGACTGACTGTTGATGGCACTGAGCTCTTTCCAGCACTGGACATCTAACTACAGTAGTTACTTCACAGCTAGTTGAAAGCATGTTTTGGGCCTGACCCACAACTCCTTTTGTAGTCAGAGCTAATTATGTTGTACAAGGAAGTAGCAGAGTCATATGATCTGTGATGTTTTGCATTCAAGCTAACAGTAACTGCATGCTTCATTGGATCTTTAAGGGCTAGTATAATCCCTGAATGTTAAGTGCCCCTTCTCTGAGAAAGGTTCCCTCTTTAATGATCCTGTGTAAATAAATGAATAACACTGTAACAGCTAGTTAAGGGAGAGGTCTTGGTTGGCCCTTTTTCTGAAAAGCAAAGGCTTTAGCTTGGGCCAAATTTTATCTAACAATGCCCATTTTAATTACCAGCTACCACAGTGGCAGTAGTGAATAACAAACACTTGTAGTAGAGGTTCCTAACTGCTGAAAGATGAGTAGGTATTTCTGAAATCTCTCTGAAGAGGACAGAGAAAAAGGACAATTGTGTGCTTAATACACAGGACTGAGGCTCAAGAGATCTGGTTTCTGCTATTATCTCTGTCACAGACTTCCTGCGTGATTTAGGATCAGGTGCTTCAGACCTGACCCAATGCTCACATAAATCAACAGATCTTATTTCCACTGATTACCACGGGCTTCAGAATAATCATGTTTTTTCCTACCTTTTGTCATGTCTACTCAGACTGTAAGGTCCTCAAGTCAGGTATTTTCTATCTCAAAGTGCAGCACCTGTTACAGCAGGACTGCTTTATTACAATACAAATCATATTATGTAAGAGTGAAGTGTTTGTTATAGAGCTTTCTTACAATTACAGATAAATACTCATGTCCAAAATGAAGCAATGGGAATACTTTCTTTCCACTGTAAAATATTCAGATTGTTTCTTCTGGTCAAATGATCTAATCTCAGAGTTTTAGCATAGAGTCTTCTTCATGTTACACTCCCAAATGGCAGCTTTACCCAGCCACGTAACTGACATTTTTTGGCACTTATGCATAGTTTGCAATCCTATTCTACTTAAAGTTGCTTACCCAGACCTCCTTTTGAAGCAGCCTCTCTCTTCACTTGGGGCAGCCAAGAGAGCGAGATCTGTGGAGTGAGATGAAAGGAAGCAAGCCAGAAGATGGTGGCTCAGTGAGACAGATACCACTGTAAGAGAGTGGGTGGGGGCTACATTCGAATCTGGACCTTTGCTCTTTATCTGGTGAATATTAAATGCAAGGGCCAGTGGCTCAGCTTCAAAGGGAGGACTAGAGAGAGAACTGGATAATACCTAACCTATGGCCTGGTGGGTAGTGTTGTGAAGTTGGAGAGACACAGGTTTGGAGAATTTCCTGGGTGAGTGACACAGCATCCTCCTTCCCCACCGCTGTTTTTGTTGGGCTACAATATGGGGATTTATATTCAGGTATGTGTATACAGAATCCTAGCCCATGCACAGCCTACTGAACGTACATATGTGTCCACACCATAGTTAAAATAAAATTGCAAATATTGTGTAAGTGCCAAAATGGCAATTATGCAGCTAGGAAAATGTCATTTGCTAGTGTAAAGGCAAATGAGATTCTGCCTTTTGGTACCCAAAACCAAAAATGTATTTTATGTGCATTTGTCATATCATTCTGTATGGAAACTTTATTTCAGTTTGGATGGCAATCTACAGCTGAGGGAGGCTGCCTTATAAAACTGTACAAGCATGCAGTATATGCAACTATCTATCTGAAAATATGAAACATACCCAAAAGTAGTCAGTATATTTTTCCGATTTATAGATGTTCTAATGGGAAACAATATAATTTGTATTTAAGTTAACATAATTTATGCAAACAGGGATCAAAATTAGTGTTTTCAGCAGAAAAAAATTTAAAATCAATCATTCAGTAGCATCTAACCCAGGACCAGACCAGGCGACATATTGCAGTCACTGGTTATGGTACTATTGTACCATTTGAGCCTGTTTTGTGACTTAATCTCATGCTTATTGCCAATCTTTAATCATGTTACAATTAGTTCCTGTTTTGCTATCAATTTGCTATGCAGCTGTTCCAAATGCTTCATTCATGCAGATAGGAAGGCTGATTTGTGACAGGGTGCCTAGCATGCCTGTCACTTTGAGAGATGCCTCTAGCTCAGGCAGCCAGGTAAAACACCTGACTGAAGGGAGGAGGGGCTTAAGGTATATATAAGCCCAGGGCCTGAGATAGGCAGGCAGTGTCATCCAGGTAGCTGACAGGGATGGAGCTCCTGAGCAGCAGCTGGGACCTCCTTACCACCCTTTAGTCCGTTCCACAAACCACCAGATGCTCCCCAGCCCAAAGGCTGCAGACCCACAGACGAGCTTGGTGTGAGATGGCTGCTGAGGGTGATTCTGGCTCACACCAAGCATGTCTGTGGGTCTGCAGCCTTTGCGCTGGGGAACATCTGGTAGTTTGTGGAACAGACTGCTAAAGGGAGGTGAGGAGGTCCCAGCTGGCCTAGGGAGATAGGGGCCAGAGGGCCCACAGCAGGGGGCCAGAGGGCTCATAGAGTAGGTAGGGCCAGGGTGCCTGTAGGCTTCACTGAGCTAGGATCGGGGCCAGGACTCAGGAAGGACCAACAGCCTAGAAGAGCCACAGATGGATACTGGCAGGGCTGGAGAGCCCATGGGTCTCAAGGGGCCTAGGAGTGGGGCCAGGGTCTAAGGAGAAGAACCAAAGGCCAGGAGGGCCACAGCCAGAGACTGAGGGAGCTATAGCTCAGAGGTGCTTGGTGTAAAAATCAACAGAGCCAAAAGCTCTTACCCTGTAGGGGCAGTTATGACCTGATTAGTATGTGCGACATCTGCAAGGCATTGGCATGGGTACTGGGGAGGCAGAGCCCATGTAATTAGCCCTGAAGGCAGTGAGTACAGTCATCTGAGCTCAGGAGTGTGAGATCAGGCTTGGGGAGCCCTGGGGCAAGCCTCCCTTTTTCTAGAAGATAAATACATCAAGGCATGGCAGGAAAGGGGAAGAAGAGATTGCCCAAAGAGAGAAGTCGATAAGTGCTGAGGAGGCTCCAGGTTTGATTGGATAGGTTTGATTCCAAAGCGATAAGTATCTCAGCATTCAAAATGGGAAGGTTAAATTAGTCAAAAACTTAAAATCATACCTCAAACTGTCTACCATACAAAATAAAATTCAAAAATTCACCATGCATTCAAAACACTGCACCAGGAAGGCAGAACAAAATCTACCCTGGGATCCAAAAGGACCAGTGTTTTTTTTTAAATCTGAACATGAACTTAATGTCCTTCAAATCACTAATGGAATTGCTAAGAAAAAAAGGGAGCTTTCATTTTACCTTGCAAGAATAATTACACTTCATTTTTCCTCTACACTTTTCTGAATTAGTTTATTGTACCTTCATACTGGAAATTGCATACACAAAATAAAACATTCAGTACACACTAACCTCTTGGATCAATCTCCCTAATTAATTACCTGATTTCCATTATCAACAGTGTCATGCAACTGAAAAAGCTCTGACAGGTGAAAGTGCATGTCTCTAAAGAAATTTTTTCTATTGATATTCGGATTTCTGCAGCTACTTTATATACATTAAATCTGAGGGACCTCTGGATAGCTCAACTGCTTTATGCCCTTCATTTTCATTTATGCCAAAATAGTTAACTAGCGATTTACTTTCAATGTGTGTGAGCTCATTAATTTTCAGGTTTTGACATTATGGAATTTTAGTCAGTTTGGGAGATAAGTTCAGCTTCACAGTCTCATGTAAGTGATATGAGAGCTATGACCAGAGTTATAGAGAACTACAGGTACAGCTGACAGTGATGCCATTCAACCAAAAAATAACATTATTTTAAAATGTTTTAAAGGTTCATTATTTTTATATAGCAAACATCTACCTGATTTAAGCAATTACTAAAATGAGGGTGGCTCTAAAAACAAGTCAATGAGCATTCCCCATAGTTAACGTTGCATTTTGAAAATTAGTTCTGAGAAATAACAATAGGCATGACTAAAACAGAGGAATCAAAGGGGGTGGAAAAAGGATTCTTACGATCAGCTTGTACTTGGATGACATAACCTAATGTCAAGGCCATCCTTTGTGAATCAACAGTGCTCAGAATTTTGGCAGCTGCAGTGCCCAGCAACGGTTTTCCATTGTATAAAGTATAGTAAGTCAGTTCAGCAGGCTCCTTGGGACCTGGAATACGCTGCATTTTTACCATCTAACAAAAAGAGAAAGACAAAGAAACTGTGTTTATATTGTACCATTCTTAGATCCTGATCCTGCAAAAAGCTACATGAATGCAGACCTCTGTGTTTACATGGAATCTCATTGAAATAAATGGACTTCTACACCAGCATAGGCCCCAAATAAAACTTCTCATGGAAACAGGTCTTTACAATGCTTCATACAACATAAAGTTCATCAAGTCTACAGCAGTCACTGAAGTTCTCATCTTTCTAACAGGAAATCCAGATTAGGAAGAGGATATGGTGAGAACAAAGAAAGAAGCGAATATAAAAATAAAATCTATTAGGCTATGAAGAAGCAATTTTGTAATTAAGTGAAAGAGGTACATCTCTGATTTTACAGCTATGTTTTGATAGACTTTTTCTAAATGAAACAAACGTGCACATCTACTCACAAGCCTAAGTGGTAGACAAAAAGAATGATACTCTCTTGACTCCGTTCTGTTACAATGGTGGACTTGGAAAGTGTGACAGTTTTTCTTTCTTGAATTAGGTGGATACATGTAAAATATTTATGATCATACGTAAAGTAGAGAGGAAATGCCTGTGTGAGGTGCCGGTTTTGTTGTTATGGATTCAAAAGTGTCCTGCTTTCATGTGATATGCTGCAAACGTAAATGCTTTCATCAACAAAAAGCCTCCCTTCTTTTAAAAACTTGTTTCACATTACGATTCCAGAACTGTGGAACAGATTTTTAAAATGCAGAATGGAAAAAAAATGTTTATATTTCAGTAAGTGACATTTGTAAGGGGGTGAGAAACTACAGAAAAAAACTGACAATTTGGCTTTTGAAATTGCAAACAGAAAATACTGGATTTCATTTCATTAGAGCAGCTGGCTAATTTTGTGCAGACACAGAATGTGCTCCTGTGGGAATACCGAGTGACAAATGCCACCAAATGAGAGAAAGAAGGCAGTCCACAACGGTTGTATCCTGGATAGATCAATAGAAAAACACTCAGGGCTGAAAACCTCATCTGCTTGCGGCCATCCAATTTTCAAACCAAAGCTATTTAAAACTAATCCCTGACTGCATTGCAAAGAATCCCAGAACAATGCAGAAGTCAGATACAGCTTTTCCTAGCTCATATGACAGAAGACCTAGGACAAATTATCCTATCACCCTTGAAAATAGAAAAATATATCTGTTCCCAACATTAAATTACCAATAGCTACTAGATTATTTCAGCTAAGGTTTGCATGTAACAACAAATTACATAGCAGACAAAAGGGAAAATATCCTTGAAGTGCAGATTAACCAATGTTAATTTCCAAAGAAGAGAAAACATGAAAATATATATAACCTGCCTGATTTCTTAAATAGAAATCATTTGTGATGACCTACATTACTCATTTACTGCCTTGATATTCACAAGTAAGGATGGCTGAACTCATTCCATCTAAATGTTTTTCACATCAATCTGTGAAGACAAAGGCTTTTTTTACAGTATCTGGATACAGCTGATATTTGACCACCTGCACAGTGTAGCTGCCCACTGTAGTAGCACGTTTAAATCGTCTTCCTTGTTGATGGGACATCATGAAAAGTGGGGCCAGACGCTGCTCCATCAGTCTTGCAAAGCTCTGGTTGTTCAATCCCAATAATGTAATGTCAACCCCTTGTATAACTGTGAGAATGGAGAAAATCATATATCAGCATGGACAAATGAAATAACACATGGGCTAAAGCAGTACTTGTGACAAAAATGTACAAGCTACTTTGGAAGAAAAACAACCTGACATTTTTTTACCAAAGTTACACAACCTCAATAATTCCCATTGCGAGTATAATGTGCCTGCGTTCCAGTCAGCGTACTATTCTTCTCAGATAATCTGTCAACTGTATTTCTCCACACTGAGAAGAAAATCCTCTGGCAGTGTTCTTCGCTTTTTAGTTTACCAAACGGCTTTTGAGAAACTCAATCTACACCAAACTTCAAAGCAAAATAGAAGTCAACCCTTAAGTGAAAACTTGCTTGAGGGTTGTCAGCTCTTATGCTTATCAGAAGGCCACCCAGATGCTTTTGTTTGACAAAGAAGGAACAGTTTTTCATCCAATACTCTGCAAATTTAAAATTGAAATTCTACAGGGTAATTTGACAAAAATATTCTGTATTCTAAGGTAATGAACAGTAGTAGAAATCATTTTTGAACACACATTTGATTTAATACGATCCACAGTCTTAAAGAATTCACAGTACATGAACACTACTTGAACTTGGGTATACATAGCCCTCAGGGTATGTAGCACACTTCTAGAAGGTACCCAAGAGAAAGAAACAGGAAGCCACAAGAAAAAGGAAGAAAATAAAATAACTAACTCTGCAATATCTATTAGGTTGTAAGAGAGACTTAGTTATATAGATGTAAGGGCCAAATTCTATTACCCTTTAAATATCCTATTGGCAGTTTTCCACCCATGTAAGTGGCATTTTAGCATTTATGCACAGTTTGCAATTCTATTCCCAGTGTGGTAATCAGAGTAGACATGAAAGTGTAAGCATCTACATAATTACTGAGCATGAGCAGTAGGATACATAGTGGCCAGGCAGGTATATAGCTATGTGTATGTATTTATCACAAAATTCTTCTCAGCAAAAGTCTGACTAGTGAGGGAAAGGAGAAAAAGAAACGTTCTTGCATATTTTAGCTCCAGTCACTGATTGCTTAGGGCACTTGTTCAGGATCTTCTGCTTCCTGCGCAAGTGCTGTAACCAATCAGTTTTTGGAGCCAAAACATGGCAGAACCCGTCGGCTTCCTCCCCATACTGGCACTCCTTGCCACCTCGCCCCCACGCACGGGGAACAGAATCACAAACTATGTAAAGCGCGATACAATTCAGCTCAAAGTGGGGTTTTTGTTGTTGCGTGCAAGAGAGAATCATAGGGATACAAAGCAATTGATACAGCAGACTTAAAAAGAAGTAGGTTATCCAAAAAAGTTTGAGAACCACTATCATACACTAACTGCATTCATCCGCTTTCACTATTTTTGAAGAGGCATTTCAGAGCTTTAAAGTGTTTACTTGCAGGTTTTTCAAAGCATAATTCCTACTAGCATATCTACAATATCCCACTAAGCCAATGGGAATTTTATGGGACCAAGACCTAGAGAATTATTTCACAAAACCTAATCCAAAACATTTTGAAATCAGTGCAATCTTTTCACTGATTTCAGTAGACTTTGGATGAAACCTGTGAGAAAATGTAACACGGTCTCTTCATTGGGCTTTGTCTTCATTTCAAAAACAGAAATAATTAGAACAAGGATGCCAAATATTTCGAGGACTTAACCTTAAATATAATTCTCCATAGAAATAAAACAGTACCTGTAATCACCCAGTAGTCTCTAGTTGATTCTGAGACATCAAGGTTTGGATACTCCAAAGCTTAAAAAAAAGTTACATTATAATATGAAAACATCTGACATGCTGTACATCCCTAAAATATAATTTATATGGCTTATCATTTGTATATTTATTTTATTATTATTTATATTATGCATATTATACATTTGCATAGGTTACATAGGTGGCCCTCCTCCTGGACGTCCTTTGACTATATGAGCCACACCATAATTTTGTCCTAAATTAATAATAAAATAAATCCAAGGCAGATTCCAGTAACTTTACTCAAATACGCACTAAGTAGCACTTTGCTCATCAGGTAGACACCAGTAATTTAAAAGGGAGTGTTCATGGAGTAATGCACTATGCATGTAATTATGTTGTTGGAATATACACCAAATACACATAAAAATAAGGTATTTAAGTTAATCAATATTTACCAGTTACATAAAATATATTTTATATAATATTAGAGCAGCAAAACATTTCATGATGAAAACCTGTGCGTCAACGATTTACACGTAAATAAAGTTTATGAAACCATCCATGGTTTTACATATATGCTGATATTTACTATACAGCTATGAAAAATTGGTGTTTGTAATTTTAATGCTTGTTCATTTTTTGGAGATATAAAAGTGCCTTATAATATGAAGTTCAACAAGCAATTAATTCACAGTATAGATCTGCAGCTTTCTCATTACAAAACAAAAATACGGAGAGCATTTAATATGCAGCAGATGAATCACTGCAGAATTTAAAAAAAATAAAGTGATTTGAAATATTAAACTTTGCAAAGCATCTGTCTTTGCACAGTAACTACTTTATGTAGAATGTTATTACCTCTCCTTTAGTTGCGCATTTATACAACAGGTTTTTAAGGCTCTGGAAGAAGCCATTATAACCAATTGGGAAATAATGAGTTCTGAAAATAATGTGGATATTTACTTGCTAGACTGAAGCCTTTACAGTGTCAGGTTAATAAGCATCTAACATTTTTCTAAGTAAACATTTACACAAGAGACAGTATCAGTCTGAGGTCATATATGCTGCATGGAAAGCAGATTCATGAGCTTGCTGCATTCCTGCTGTGTAGGGAATAAAACCAGGACCTACAATTCCAAAGCACAAGCTATTACGCATTAAAGGACCACTGGCTAAAAGCTGTATCCTGACTATTAGGCACAGTCTGCACTGAAAGGATTGTAGGACTGCATTACCCCATGAGGAGCCCTGGTAGGAATTCTGCCTCAGTGAGAAATGCTTTCCAGAGCTCCCTGGCATGACTGCTCCTAGGCTGCTTTTACGTACGGCAGCAGACGTGGCTGCCCCGGGTACCAGTCATGCTCTCCTTTGTGTATAGAACAAGACAGGACCTCTCATCCCAGCTTCTCTGGAGACTCTACATATACATGTGAGCAGACTGCAGTCATCTTCACTGACGCTGTCTCAGTGTGACAGGGTGCTTGGTGCACCTATCCCTGGAGGAGGACAGAGGCTGACGGACAAGAAGCCTGAAGGTGTGGCAGGGTGGATTACAGTTACTTGACCAGGAGGGGGCTGGACTTGAGGCATATGGGTCCAGGGTCTGAGCTGGTCGGGCAGTCAAGCCCCAAGTGCCACAGGGAGAGGAGCAGGGCTCCTGGATTAACAATGGACCTGGGTAAGCAACAGAAGAGACAGGCCTGGGGCCCAGAGGAAGAGAGCTTGAGCCCAAAGGGGCAAGGGACCACAGCCAGAGACTGACAGTGCCTAAGAGCCCGGAGATCTTGACTGCCCTAGGAGGCCATGACCTAGAGAGGGGCCAAAGACCAGGGGTCACAGCCAGAGACCTAGAGGGCCACAGAGCCCATAGCCCAGAAAGGGCGAGGTCTGGGGCTGAGAGCCCATAAGCTACAGAGGAGCATGTGTCAGCAGAACTAGAGAGCTCAGAGATCTGCAGTAACAAGAGGGGCGAGTGTCGGCAGGGCTTAAAGCGCCCAAAAATCTCACAGGTCCAGGAGTGGGACCAGGGCCTAGAGATGAGCTGAAGGTCAGGGACCAGTGCCAGAGATTGCCAGGGCCTGGGAGCCCAGAGATCATGACTGGCCTAGGAGTAGGGCCATGGCCCAGAGATGGGCCAGAGACTAAGGGTCACAGTAGAAGACCAAGGGGGCCAAGGAGTCCATAGCCCAGGAGGGGCAAGGACTGGGGCTGGGACCCCATAGCCCAGGAAGGGCAAAAATCAGCAGATCATCTGCAAGGCATGGGAGTGGGTATTGGGAAGGATGGAGCCCAAGGAATTAGCCCTTAAGGCAATGACCATGGGCACCTGTGGTCATAAGTGTAAGATGAGGCTTGGGAAGCCCTGGGCAGCCTCCCTTTCATCAGAAATTAGTAACATCAAGGCGTGGAGGATGAGTAAAGGGGAGAGAGCCCCAAAGGAAGCTAAGCTAGCAAGAGTTAAGTGGCCACGAGGGGGCATCTAGACCACTCTGGGATGAGCACTTGCTACAGCAGCTACACTCAGCACAGAGGCAATCAGCACTGTTAGTTATGCAAAATTTTACAGTTTCAACCATTAAACACCCTGCAGGATGGTTGTTTGTAGATGTGTGATTTGCTCATTCATGGTCTGGTTATTTCTCAGAAAATATACAGTGTCTGAATCCAAGCCACAAGTGGCTGATGGTTATTCAACAAGAATTTGAATAATTACCAGGGGCTAAACTGTTATTTCATGCCCTGAGGAAAATATTGGGTGAGAAGTTACTCACAGAGGTAAGCAAAATGCAATTATCTATGCAAGTAACTTAAGGGTGGCCAACCTGTGGTATGACTGCCACAAATGGCACAGGCAGCCTTTATGTGAGAGGGGAAAGGCAGCACAGAGACAGATAGGAGAGGAAGCAGAGAGCAGAGCATCAGATCAAGCAGGGAGCATATGGCAGAGAGCAGAAAGCAAAGCAACAGATTAGGTAAGGGGAAGGGAAAAGAGTAGCACCAGGGAAGGTGCAGGGCTAATTTGTGGCATACCTGCCCAACAGGTTGGCCCCCACTGGAGTAACTGATCATCACTCTGTGAGCAAGTGAGTGAGTGAGTGAGTGAGTGAGTGAGTGAGTGAGGGAGTGAGTGAGTGAGTGAGGGAGTGAGTGAGTGAGTGAGGGAGTGAGTGAGTGAGTGAGGGAGTGAGTGAGTGAGTGAGGGAGTGAGTGAGTGAGTGAGGGAGTGAGTGAGTGAGTGAGGGAGTGAGTGAGTGAGTGAGGGAGTGAGTGAGTGAGTGAGGGAGTGAGTGAGTGAGTGAGGGAGTGAGTGAGTGAGTGAGGGAGTGAGTGTGTGTGTGTGTGTGTGTTGCGGAGGGGGAGGAGAGGCACTGTGTGTGCACTATGGGATCAGAAACCCCCTAGGGTTTTTGGCAGGAAAGAAAGAACAGCCAAAAGGGCAGTTCTGCATTTCCTTCACCATGTGATCACATATTTTATTGGAATAGGAAATATATTAAATTATCTCAGGACTTCATTTTAAACTAACCCAAATAATCCAGTTTACTGCTTACCTCTACCCTAATCAGTCTAGTAACAGCAACATGTATGGAACAAAACATTACAAACTGCAATCCATGAAATTATTAGTTTGACAGACTGGATCAAAGGTGATATTTAGTCCTATCAATGAATTTCATGGCTACTGTGGTTTAAACTGGATCTTCACTGTTATTTGAACATACTCTTTTATACTTAAGTTGTATCATGACGACTTGTGCATTGTAGGATTAATTGGAGCCTGTGCTCATTTAACTCAAGACTATTATTACATGTTAGATGGAGCTCATGTATCTTTGTCTTATTTCTCTTACAGTAAGCACTGATCTTTCACAGTGAATGGATAACTTATATTTATACAAAGTCTAATTTCACAGGCTGAATTCAACTGATCAAACAAAATCCCCATAGCCAATATCCATGTGTCTTCACCCATTTTATGGAAATCGGCATGCTAAGTGGCTCAGAGAATCCACTCTCTACATTCTGCTGATAGGCATAACTTTTTCTGATTCATAGCACCTTTGACTCCTCAGAGCTAGTGGAAAGAAAAGACTGCATAATGTGCAGTGAAAAATGTGTTGTGCACCAAACTCTCAATTTTAAAAAACATCCTGTAAAACAGGGTCTAAGGTTCAAAAACATGTACCAATGAGACTTTTTTTTCAGACCAGATTGAAAAATACATTTTTTGCACCTTCCTTTTAAGGTCCTCTACCCATTCCCCACTCAACAGTTTTTCAACCCCCCTGATTCTGTATATATTCAAAGCACGCTACAACGAACATCTGTCTGAACAAGTGTTGGGGCCTAATTCTGCTTCCAGTGAAATTAAAATCCAAACTCCCATTGATATAAAGGTGCAAGATCAACCTATGGGCTGAGGCTAAGGTTTACAGGTTATAGTGTTTCCTAGAGTTGATGAATGGAAAAGTTTTGTTATACCTTCTTGACAAAAATGTAGCTTTACAGTGGAATGGAATCTACCAGTGTTTTGCTGTTAGGGAGGCATGTCTGTGCACATGTATTTTTAATTATTTACCAGCATGCAGAGAGACCAGGGTAGGTGTCTTTATAGCAGGTAAAACTGAAACAAGTAAGAAAAATATGTATGTTTTAAATTTCCACTTGTTACATGTAACGAAACATTCTGAGGCAAGTACAAAGCTAAAACCCTTGGGTTTTACATAGGAAGTTTGTTAAAGTTTCTCAAGTAGTGTTAACCAGTCACAGCCAGCTGTGATCTAAAGTGCTTACTTACATTCGGCAATAGTCAGAGGTGGGTAGGTAAGATAGAATCCCACCAGTTCAGCTGAGAGCTGATTAAGCAGGTTGCTGGAAACGGTGCCATTTAGAGTTGTGCTTTGATTGCTCACCACATAAAATAAAGTGACACCCTGGGAAATATTTGAAGTGTTCAAAATCTGAAACAAAAGTAAAGAAATATCATGCAGTTGAATTTCAGCTCGTTGGTTCACAGATGTATATAATCAATGCAAATAACCAAATAGGGAAAAGTTACTGCCAAAATTATGTGTTTGGGGATGCTTTTAACTCACTGCTTAGCGTGGTATAACATAACAGACCAGACACGTGTGGCCCATGGCTTCCTCAAGGGTTATCACTCCTTTTTATATCCAGTGAGGTAGATTTGGACCCTGTTTCTATGGCTTCTCCCAGTTCTCTGATTTCACTGACTAGTTCCATGGCCTGTCTGCTATCCTTGCCACCTCAACTCTGAGCCTGTCTCTCTTCAGTGTCTGATCCAAATGCCCACTTCTCAATATATTCACTGGGATTTGGATAAGCCCCCAAGCAGAAGCAGAGAAGCAGTGGAGCTATGGCAGGGAGGGAAGTAATCTTTCTGAACAACCTGACCCCCAGTGACTAAGGAGAAACAATTTTTTTTTTTATAAAGATCTTTGGGTTATCAGTTGAGACTGCCAATGTTCAGGTTTGGAATGAAAAACTTGGGATAGTGTCATGTTACTCTGGAGTAATGAGTTATCTGCTTAGGGAAGGGAGTGGGTGACAAGAGAAGTTTCCTTGTATCTTGTCTCCCTCTTCCACTTTGCCACAGGCACCTGCCATACCCTGATCCAAAACTAAGAGATTCTTGAGTAATAAAAGACAAAACAGTCCACTTTACTGTTTTATGTATTTGCTTTATATATAAGCAGAAGGCAGAGTAGGTTTGAACCTATTAACTAACTAAATATTCATTATGTCTATTTGGCATAATAAATATTTAGTTAGTCTATGAAGTGCAAACCTACCCCACTGTCTGCCTAAATATATACCAAAGATAGCAAAAGTTTGCTAAAAGGCATGATAAATACTTAGTTCGTCTATGAAGTACAGATCTACTCTTCCTTCTGCCTGACTTCAGACTAACACAGCTAACTACCTCTCTGCTTTATACCTAGTCACATAAATCATGTAATTTCCTGGGTTTTAGGCCAAAGTTTTTTAAGGTCAAAACACAAAAACAGCCCAGTAGAGTCATTCAAGCAACCAGTCTCCTCTGATTATCTCCTCTTGGTAATCTAAATAGTTAAAAAACCTCACTGAATCAATAAAGAGAATGTTTAGTACACACAAGGCACATCTACATGAGACCCTGGAAACATATTAGACTAATTCTATTGCTCACTAGTGCATCATTGCAACAACTGTGCTAATGCGCAGTAGAATTAGTCTACTGTGCATTAGTGTTGTGTAAAAAACTTGCACCGGCACTACTGCACAGTAGTACCAATTACAGTGCATTAAATTAGTACCTGTTATTCCCAGTACTAAACTAAACGTGTCATAATTGTGGCACATTAATGCATGTGTAGACTTGTCCATATATCTTTCCTGCTTGGTGCAGGGGGCTGAACCCAATGATCTTCCGATATCCCTTCCAGACTTACAATCTACGAATCTATGACTCACTAACATGGGCTCTGAAACAACTCACTTACGTGACCAACTTTTTTTATTTTAGTGAATTGCACAGAACTACTGTGTTTCCCCATAAGTTTCCTCAATCTTTGCAGGACTGAGCTCACAGTGCCCAATTTAGATCTACAAATGTGCATCATAAACAGTCCCAATGAGCTCAAGTGATCTGAAAAATCAGTCTTAGTTAAGAGTGCTGAAATGACATGTTTTACTATTCTAAGAAAGAAATAATTAGGGTTAAACATCTTAACTTTCCATCATCTAAATAGGGCTTTTTGGAACAGACGTATAGTAAATATCAATAGTTTTTAAAATATTGTATATATTAGGCTAACTTAAAATACGGTACAGTTTCAATTTCAGGAAGTAGTAATAATAACTTTCCATGTCACTTTAATTCATTTTTTTTCTTGTGGTACTAAGGTGCATCCATAAGATACATATAAAACAACATAATTGTATATGAAGATATAAACAAATCTCCAGTAACTATCAGATGTATGGGGTTGACATTAATACAGGGGCATTCAACTCCAGCACTGGACGGGGGTTGGGGGAAGCGGATATGCGGTGCCTGGAAATATCCTGGAGCCCCTTGATGGTTTCAACTGTGAGGAATGCTTCCCTTGTCCCACTGATCAACTGATTGGTGGCCCTCATAGCATGACATATCCCAGGGACACCCTGGATAGATCCAGCTGCAGGGAAATGCCCCTCTCACTCCTTCCTCCACCTTGCATAGACCTGCAGTGACCCGGGTCTGTTCAGCAGCAGGCAGAATTTGCACTGGCAGCAGCATTTCCCCAGGGCTCTTAGGGAGCCTGTGCTCTCCCTCCTCCCTCCCTTGAAGGGAGAGTCGAGGGCTGTGGGATACTCACCTTCATCACATGAGAGTAGTGTACAGCCATTCATGCTGGTGAAGGAGGAGAAAGACTGTTCTGGTTGGAAGTGCTCAAAAAAGGTGTCTTTCCCAACACAAATGTAATCCCTATCCATAGCTATAAATCTACATCAGCAATTTCAGCAGCAAGCAATAATCCTGTTAGTCTGACAATATACACTGGCAAAGGCACTGGTATTATACCTGAACTGTTAAGTTGTTGCTGGTGTTTAAGACCTTCCTTTCAGCATCCTGGAATGCTCTCTGTAACCGCTGCTCCATAGTCTGAACAAACTTGCATGACTGTATATTGTCTGTTTGACCCACAAACTGCAGCTCTAGAATATGAATGCGTAAGTGTGTAGTGAAAATATTTTCTGAGTCTACATAAGTCTCGTAAGGCACGACAGCAAAAAGATCAAATTACAAAATTAAATAGGTGAATATAACATCATATAAAACTTGCTTATTCTTAAGCAATATTATACATGATTTACTATTAAAATAAACTACAAAGATTATATACTGTTATTTGAGCTGAGACATAAATAAAAGGGGACTGTTTCTGCAATGATATATAACACTTTCAGACCAACACAACTGTCTATGTACTTACTTGAAGTTTAGGACAGAAGTGAAAACCACCTTAAAACGTAAGTACTATCTTGAATCTTTAAAGTCATTGACTCTTGAAAAGAAATAATAAACCACAATACTAATTACAACTCTTTTTTCTTGGAAGGGGGAAGTGCTGAAAATAATATATTCTGTGAGGTAGTTGCAATATATTTGTATACACCCAAAATATCTCTTCCAATTCAATATGTGACTTCTTCTTTCTGCATTAGCACAACAGTCCACACACTACCTTATTTATTCGAATCTAAGACAACCCTGAACAATCCCCCAATAATTAGATTCTATACAAAATTTATCATTTTCCATTTATAGAATTGAATTATTGGGGGGTTGTCTTTAATTCATTCCCTGCACTGCTGATAATACCCAAGACCCAGTTTTCATTTGCTTATAACATATGCCTGCTAGCATGGATCAAGGGTAAGGGGGGAGGGAGAGGGGCAGACAGGGGAGCAGAGGCTGTATGGGTGGAGGAGATGGGGGAAGAGGCTGCACTGGGGAGATGGTGGGGTGCAGAGGTAGAGCGGGAGAGGGGGCAGGCAGAAGCTCCAGCTACAGTGCCAAACCCAGGCACGGGCTGGTTGCTGGTTTCTGGAACTGGAGCCAGAGCTGTAGCAGCTGCCTGCCCCTTCCACCGTCCCTGTACTCAATTCTAAGAGGAGGGGCTCCTCCACGTTAAATGGGGGGGTTGTCTTAGAATTGAGTAAATATGGTATATGGGGAGTCACACTGGAGACTCAGGCTAACTTGTCGATGGAGTTGTACACCTACATTTGGTGCTTTATTTTTTCTGATAGGCATTTATTACAGAACTGACAGTAAACTCTGCAACCATTACCCCAGAAGGATTATTTCATTACTTACCTGTTTTCAGCTGGAGGTGGTAGGCAGGCAATGGATTCCATGGCAAAGCCAGTACAGCAACAGACTGAAGATTTGGCACATGCTGCTTTATGTCCGCTGTGGCATTGCTAACACCATAAGCAATAAGCATTTCAATAACTGCAGCAGGTATAAAAACCAACCTCCCCTGTGTAACGTAGTAACCAACTGTCACGTTATTTGATTGTTCCAGAATTTCAACCTAAAACACAGAGGGAAATTTTACTTTTATTTCCATCAACTGCTCTGTTATTGGATTTTTCATTCTGAATCAGATTTCCTAGAGGTTTTGCATGTAATCTCTTTTTAGGCAGGATGGAAGCAGATGGTGCAATATAAAGCAATTTTACTTTTGAATTTAGAAATTGAATGTTCTGCACACTGACATACATAAGTCATTTCACATACAAGAAGATCCACTGTACTCTTGCGCATATCAAGGTTCACAGGATTAGGATCAAAAGAGTATAAGGGGAAAATTCTCTACTGTTTGATCCTCTAATGTCACAACTGTATTTTTTACATTCTTCCATGGGCAGAGCTTACAACAACAGGCATCCTTCAAAGTGAGCACAATAACACAATATTGCCTTAAAAAGCTACAGTTGGTAGTAAGAGACAAGCTAGTTTCCTTGCACTTAGGGCTCAAAAATGTGTCCTTCACACATGGTTCAAAGAGGGCCCTGTATGGGGAAGGGTACAGGAACCCTTCTTGTGTCTTATGGAGAGACAGCAGAGTGGCTGCCTTTCCTTTAGTTTCAGAGGCCCCCAGGACTATAATCTCTCTATGTTCACTGCTGCAATCTACACTGACCTAGATAGCACCCACAGGGGAAAAGAGAAATTGATAATTGTAGAGCCAAAAACAAACCTGGACTATCCACCAATTATTCTGAATAGGATGATTTGTAGTTCCTCCATTGTTTTTGTAAATGTTCCTTCTCTTTACTTATAATTCATATGCTAGTCTATAGCTGTGTATAGCATCCTTATTAACAGCATAAGAAGCTCTATCCCTCATTTTTTACATTATATGGCCCTAGCAACCTACTTCAGTCTAGACTTATACTCCACATAAGAGTTTCATGTAATTTAGATGAAAGTAATGAACATGTCACTCTCTCTTACTTTCAGTAAAAATTGTTTTCCCCTCACTTAAGTTTTGTGTCACTGTAGAAGCAAATGTCAGACACAGCATTTCCAAACCAGAAAATGGACTGACAGCAGTGACAACCTATTTATTGGACTTGCTGTTACAACTGAGCTGTACTAAGGTATGGAAGCATTTGGCTCACTACATGAGTGCACTCATTCCTGGATTTCAGTGTGGGGGGGAGGAATAAGGGGTGAAGAAACTGCTGCTCCACAACATGCCAGAAAGAAAAGTGACTCTTCCACTTTTCACCTTTTAAAATAAAACGATAGCTACCATAAAGAGGTTATAGGGGCCCTAAAAAGTTTAGACTCCATATACCATTTCTCCTGCTCCTACCTTTCTTTCATAAAAAACCAACCAAAAGTGCTGTACGTTCCATGCTAGACAGATTACATCCCTACAGTGCATCCAGTCTTTGCAAACTGTACAAATAAAATTTCCCACCTGAGCATCCCACAAAGCAGCCCAATAAAGCTGCAGCCAGTTGGGACCAACACAGCTAACTACCTCTCTGTAAATGACTATGTCAGGAGCTTTCACACAAAAGCCAGCTTTGGTTAGGGAAGTACCCTATCAGTGTTATATTTTCTAAACAACAAAAGCATGACTGAAAATCACAAAGAAATCCTGTGCACTCACATCTGTCCAGTTAGTCTCCTGTTCCTGGCTATAGGAAGTTATGCAATAAGCCACTATATCAAGCTTACTGAAAAACAGGTGTAATCCATTTGAATCACAAAAAGGAGACAACAGCTAAAATGAAAACCTGTCCTTTGAAATGCTGAGTTGTCATGTGGATTTAATCATATATATCATTTGTAGTCCTCATATGCATGAAGAAGTGTATTACTTAAAGACCAAAATAAAATAAACCCCCAAAACACAAGTAATTTTTGTCATTACTTGTGTGTATGATCAAAACAATCTGTTGTTTTTAAACAGTGATGATGATGTTATAACTCTTGGGGGGGCAGGGGGGGACATTTGCTCTGTATCTGTCATTGGCAATGAAATCAAAGTGCTTCACCATGCCTAATTCTAAATGCCTTTGGACTCTCTGAACACCAGTCTTCTATGTTCCGGCAAGTTTTTATGATGAGATGGAAAAGGGAAAAAAATACAGTGTAAATGTTGCATCAGACAACAACCAACCTGCCAAGTACCACCCAGCTCATGTGACCCAAGCACTTAAAAACACTGAGAGCTCACACTCATCTAGGCTTCAGGAATGGCCTGCATCAGTGCGGTGGGATGTCAGGGGCATGTATCACCTGCAGAGTAGTCAGATTCTTCACCCGTTTGCCATCATCTGATGAAATTGGCTATACCCTATCAAAGGTAATGCTCTCTGAACAAGTTAGTCTATAAGGTGCCACCTTCCCTGCCCTCTGCCCTTTTCTTTAGTAAGGGAGGAAGAAGTAGCCAAGAAAAAGAAGGCAGCACCTCCACAAAACCCCAATAGCTAACAACATCCTCAAGACTAGCCTTGTACTGGCTGATCAATTAAATTCTATTCTGCACCCAGTCCCACAAATAGGCACTTGGTTCTGCACATTACAAACCCAAAATACTGTTTTTGTGGCTCCTAGAAACCATGGGTATGTTTGTATGTCTCTAAAGGAAGGGAGATGAAATACAGGAGCTTGTCTCTAACTAGTTTGTCCTTGATTCACATCCTTAAGAAATCCAACACTTTGGCAAATTGCTAATGGTTAAGATTGATGTTTATCACCTCCTTTGGGTGCCAAGACTTCTAATTTGACTGTATAATTCAGTTTGCTTACTTGAGCATTGACATTTTGGTTGAAAGCCTGTCGCAAGACCAGGGTGAGTCCTTTTGTCACATTCTCTTTTAAGGAATCGCTGATCAGCAGCCTTCTTGTGTTCAGAAGCAGAACTGTTGAACAACACCAAGACACACATTAGCCTGAAACATCAACATGCTACTGTTTTCTTGACTTTATTTCCTTCTACTTTTCATCGCAGTCATCTATCTGAACCAAGTTCAGTGACAATCAAGTAAGAAACCCTTTGTTATGCAGCAGTTGCACAGGCGCTCAGCCCAAGCCCAGAGCTCTCCAGTGTTCAGAGTGGAGACTTCTGTTGCTGTGGGGAGCAAGGGCTAAAACTGCAGCACTTTCTAAAATCACTGAGTCTTTTTCAGTGAATTACACTACTGCCAGGTAATCTGAAAGTTGATTAATGGAACCTTCCAACATGACTGAAATGACCTTGCCTCACAGGGCTCATAGTACAAGAAAGTCCATGTGGACGAATATGCACTGCATTTTCATAAACAGAGACCTAATTACCCGTTCTCTGTCTCAGGATTAAAGCAAACCAAAATGGCCTTTAATTCCCATGATTACTTTCATTGAGGAAGTGTTTAAGGATGTTGTGATTAATTTTATCAACCTAAGGAAAAGACTGAAGCATTTTTCAAATAATTTACAGAAAGATTCAGTATGCTTAGCTGCATCCTGGATATCCCAGACTAGACATGCCTTATTCTTATCACATGCTTTGTCTTCCTGCAGACACAGCTGTTGTAAATGTGTCATCTCTGGTGATATTTAGCAGCACAGACACATCAATAACACTAGTGTCTGTCCAAGGATTTTACTCTTCCCAATCTCCCCCTCATCTTACGCAGGTACGCATTTGTAAAGCCTTTATTTTACCCCTTCCCTTTCCTTTTCTACATCTTAAAATAAGGTACCTGATGTAGTGCTACCCTTTGCTATCAGTGTGAACAATTACACTGTCAGGGAATGATTTCTGAAGAGCCATTCAGTTTAGTGTTCTTAAGAGAGATTTTTCCTTAACATTAAGCCAGGCTTAGAGCCATGACAAATGGTACTACTATTAGAGATGTAGTGTGCTCATAAATAACAACAAGAACATCATTTGAAGATTAATTATATTAAATGTTAAGCACTATTTTGAAATATATCTTTATACAGGAGAGCAATGTACCATGCCAGAACAGGTCAAAAGCCTCATTAGTACAATAACTTGCCTTAGCCAATGACTTAGACCTTTTGCTGCAGCAGAGGGGAAAAAAACTACCATTATGTACTCAGCTTACAGTACGATAAAGTAAACCTTCCAGAGTCTTGCAATGGCCTGCAAAACCATGGAGCGTGGAACTGGAGGACCTCATTTTATCATGTAAAAGTATTAATGAAAATCTACATTTGTCCACACTTACTTGCTGGTGACTCTCTAGTTGGCTTGCTGGTGGACTCATCGCTACAGTACCTAATCCCCAAATTGGTGACTCACACCCTTAAGTTAATTAGTAAATTAACAAACATTTAAACATTGTTTCCACTTATTGTGAACTGTACATCATACAAAAACAATAAGTTACTGGTCAAACCAAACTCATCTGATAGCCTTACCTGTTTTAACCATAAGGTTCCTGGACTGCTGGCATTCCAAGGCAGGAACTGCAGTCGTGTTAGCGAAAGTTGCGCTTGAAGTTGCAGGAGCAGCAGAAGTGCTTTCCACTGGAGTAGGAGGAAGCCTAGTTGTTTTCGCTGATGCTGTAACAGATGTCAAAGCTGCTGTAATTGTCAGTGGGTAGTGGAGTCCCCCAGGGCTCAGTCCTGGGGCCTGCGCTGTTCAATTTCTTCATCAGCGATCTGGATGATGGGGTGGATAGTAACCTGTTTAAA